GTTAAAATCAAGTTCCCAGTTGTATTCAATCTCAACATTATCATTTATGGCATTTTTTATTAGATCGGAAATGGCATCATGAAGTTCAACTTTATAGTGATTAACAGGTGAGACAGCAAAATTTGTAATACTAAACGTTGCGATTAATAAATTTATAACATTTGCTATATTTATGCTTGGTATTCTAACATCACCTATTATGTCACCAGCACAAAAATATTGTCTTCTGTAAGGAGTTAGTTGAAATCACCTCTTCGATTTATTTTATATATAACATTTAAATTAGAAACCCAAAATCAAAATAAATTTTATTTAATTTGAATCAAACGGTAATTGTTCAAATAACGTCAGACTATGAATAAAGTGCAGAAACGTACAGCTTTTATATTAAAAGGAAGATAATATTTTAATAAATATTATAGCATGATGTTTAACAAAGATCAAATGATAGACTGATATTAAAGTAAAAAATAATTGATACAAAAAGTTTACGCGATAGAAAAATAATATGATTAAATATACAGGGTGTCCCGAAATTACCGGATGTTATTTTAATGGCAGATTCTTTAGAACATTTTAAAACAAAAACTTTCATACAAAAATATCGAGGCTGTAATAGTTTTCAAATGAGAAGCGATTATATTTCACCAATAACAGGGCTGAGATTTCGCGCGCTCAAGCACGTCGAAATAATAAGTAATAAAGGTGCCACACGCCGTATAGAATAGTGGACACCTTCATGGTAATAATTGATCGAAACTTTGACAGATTAAGTTGAAATATGTCATTTTTACTTGAATCATATTTAAGATGTCTTACAACTATTATTCGTATAAAAAATATACTAATGCAATGCGTAGAGAAGCGACAAAACATATGACAATGTTATTGTAAATTTATACAATGATCATAATATCGTAAAAAAAGTGATATTCATAGGAGCACCTTTATCACTTGTCATTTCGACGTGCTTGAGCGCGCGAAATCTCAGCCCTGTTATTGGTGAAATATAATCGCTTCCCGTTTGAAATCTATTATAGCCTTGACATTTTTGTATGAAAGTTTTCGTTTCAAAATGTTCTAAAGAATCTGCCATTAAAATAACATCCGATAGTTTCGGGACACCCTGTATTTGTATGTATGTGTGTATGCGCGTACGCGTAATAGGTTTTCATTTTCGTTATCGTGTATTGCGAGACCTTACGAAGAAAAGAAAAAAAGAGATAAGTCGTTATGAAATAGAGAGGGAATAAGATTAGTATAGGTAACGTGCGTCTTTATTTTATTTCTCAAGAATTACTTCCCGCAACATAACTTTTGCCATACATGGTTGAATTTGGCGTAACATAAGCTTTAATAAAACTTGAAATTTTTTTTTAAATATTAAAAAAACAATGAGTGGTGAGGGTGTTTTGAAAAATATTATCAGTTTTTTAAATCCAGATACGCCATTGTAAAGTACATAAAATATGCAGCCATAAAACTTTTGTTCAAACATTTTTTTCATATTTCTTTTAATTTCGATTATATTCGCTTCAAAATGTAAAAACCAATTTTTTATAGGGAGTTATTTTCACCCCTAAAACCATTTTTTAGCACCAAAAAATCGTTCCATTATTAGAGTCTACTAATCTATAATTATGCATAATTTCAAATTTTTTTTAATTTTCGCGTTGCCGAAGTATTAGGTTGCTTCTCTCTCTGATGAAGTGAATTTAAATATACACCAAATTTTAGAAACAAATTCATAAAAGTACGGTTTTAACTCGGAAGCCAAATTCAGTACATCATCTCATTGTTAAAAGTATCAAATTATCTATATTTTTTATAAATGAATAACGTACCTATGTTATCTTCCTTTAATTTGTACTCCTTATAATCACTCAAGTCAGGCTCTTTTCCCTGTTTTACGGCGTTATATTGCTCCATAAATTTCTTCAACTCGTCCGGCGGTAGAAAATCGCCAATATGATGTTTGCCTTCCGCTTGCGCTGTCAATTCCTCAGCCCACATTTGCGTCGCTTCCATCTCAGCGGACCTCAATTTATGCTCCCATGTACCACCTTCCGTCTCTTCGTCACTGTCGTATTCGTATTTATGTTTTCCTTGTGCCTCCAAATGTTTCACTTCTTCTCTTTTCCTTAAGAGATTTTGGTATAAAATATTTATCTGAAACGCATACATAAGCAAAAATTATTTAAGGAGAAATCGACGCTAAATTTATACACGCAAAGTGGAGTATATAAAGTATTAAATAATAGGAAATAAATATTAAATAATAGGGGCATATAAAGTATTAAATAATAAGCATATAAAGTATTAAATAATAGGAAGAATAATCGGAAGAAATGTATTATTAGGAAAAGTGTTAGACAAATGTAAGAATTCGAAAGAAATATAAGATAGTAATATTGTTAGAACACATAAAATAGTAATATAACTATTATTAATTAAACGACCTTGGTTTTTTATATACGTATCTTCGTACCAATCTTCTTCGTATCAAATACGAGTGCGGGAGGCGCAACGATATTATTTGACAATGAAATGTTTTTTCAAGATAATTTCAAATTTAATTTTGCATTTTTCAAATTTAATTTTGCAAATCATATCACTTTTTTAATATAAATAGTTTTTTCCTGTCACTGCATATAAAAGTATTAAAGCAAGATTACCGAAAAGTGAATATTTTGCGAGATTTATACAGGGTGTTCGGAAAGTACCGGGACGCCCGAATATCAGGAAAAATATAAGTTTTACAAAAAAA